ACTAACTCGGTGTGTGTGTGTGCGTGTGCTTGTGTGTGTGTGTGTGCGTCAGGCGAACGTGATGCTGGAGTACGAGGTGAGCGAGGCTCGCTCGCTGCTCGAGCGTAATCTGGACACGGCGACGCGCAACATGGAGCAGCTGGGCACCGACCTGGACTTCTTGCGGGACCAGTTCACCACCACCGAAGTCAGTATCCTTACGCCCAGGAGACGGGAGACGGGAGAGTCGCCTGCCGGCGCGCGTGAGCGAGAGTGGAGCGGTTAGCGCGTTGCACTACTTTTGTTTTGTTACCACTGAGCTACCATGGAGCTGGACGTCACGAACGATGGCTCGGCGAAGTAGCTATCATCACCTACTACTCACTCACCTACTACTCACACAATCACCTACTACTCACTCACCTACTACTCACTCACTACTCACTCAATCACCTACTACTCACCCACACAATCACCTACTACTCACCCACCTACTACTCACCCACTCACTACTCACCCACCTACTACTCACCCACCTACTGCTCACTCAATCACCTACTACTCACCCACCTATTACTCACCCACACAATCACCTACTACTCACACAATCACCTACTACTCACACAATCACCTACTACTCACACAATCACCTACTACTCACCCACCTAATACTCACACAATCACCTACTACTCACACAATCACCTACTACTCACCCACCTACTACTCACCCACACAATCACCTACTACTCACACAATCACCTACTACTCACTCACCTACTACCCTACTACTCACTCACCCACTTACTACTCATTCACCCACACACTCACCCACTCACCCACACAATCACCTATTACTCACCCACTCACCCACCTACTACTCACTCACCCACTCACTCACCAACACAATCACCTACTACTCACCCACTCACCCACACACCCACCCACTCACCCACTCACCCACACAATCACCTATTACCCACTCACCCACACAATCACCTACTACTCACCCACTCACCCACCTACTACTCACTCACTCACCCACCTACTACTCACTCACTCACCCACCTACTACTCACTCACTCACCCTCTCACTCACACACTCACCCACCCACTCACTCACCCACACAATCACCTACTACTCACCCACTCACCCACCTACTACTCACTCACTCACTCACCTACTACTCACTCACTCACCCTCTCACTCACCCACTCACCCACACAATCACCTACTACTCACCCACTCACCCACCTACTACTCACCCACCCACTCACCCACCCACTCACCCACACACTCACCCACACAATCACCTACTACTCACCCACCTACTACTCACTCACCCACCTACTACTCACTCACCCACCTACTACTCACTCACTCACCCACACAATCACCTACTACTCACTCACCCACCTACTACTCACCCACCTACTACTCACCCACCTACTACTCACCCACACAATCACCTACTACTCACTCACCCACCTACTCACCCACCCACTCACCCACCTACTACTCACTCACCCACTCACTCACCTACTACTCACCCACTACTCACTCACTACTCACCCACTACTCACCCACCCACTCACTCACCTACTACTCACCCA